CCAATCAGGCACTGTAGAGGGCCGCTCGCTGGGGCCTCGGAGGAGCAAGCGGCCGCCCGATGACAGAGCCGCCCATTTAACCAGCTTTTTCAGAAGGAGGAGAGCAATGAGGACCTCCATACTTCTCAGGTTCACATTAGGAGGATCTGAACTGTGAGTTAGGGTTTCATTTAAAGGCTTCATCTAAACCCAGGGGAAAAAATGTGATATACTGCAACTTAACAGTCCTTAGATATGTTGGCGGCATTCGTTTTTACTTTTTTCCCCAATAGTTTCACCTGGTGATCCTGCCAGTAATGCACTTTCTGTCATCCCATTCCTCCTCCACCCTCTCTTCTACACAATTAGGTCAAATGTTCATGTTTTGCATTTGGTAAATACCTGTTGTAGCTAGATTCGCTGTCCCACTGTCTAGTTTTCTCACCTAAGCAAGAACGACGTACCGGTGGGCCACCCAAAGACTCCTGGTATATCCATGTGACCAGGGGCATCCCCATAATGAGGCATCTCTATGGCTGGGGCAGCAGGAGTGTGTGCAGCATGGCCAAGTAACAGAACAATCCCCACCCCGGGCTGACATCTTGGCTAAAGCCACCACTCCCCCTTCTCCTGGCTGCCTCAGGTGGTGAATAAGGTAGGGGCAGCCCTGCACGTGACACATCACAGGGGCAGGGCATTAAATTCTGGAGTCTCGCAAGATTAATGAAGCATCACAAGATTTCGCCTCTACTTAGTTCTATGACGCTATGGCTTGTTAAATGGTTGCCATTGCATCTTTATGTAACCTCAAGGTGACGTCAACCAGAAACCATGGACTAGTAAGTTTTATGTTTTTTAAAGGAGAACTATGAGGCGAGGGAAAATCACTCAGCCTCATAGTTCTAGCCAACCTGTAACAATTAAACTGTCACAGGTCGGCTCAGTAGATCGTGAGGTGAGAGAACACATACCCGCGTTCGCTCACCTCTCGGTCCTGTCCCTGCAGAGAGCCGTGACTGTCACTCACGGCTCCCTGCAGGGATTCCCCCCTCCCCGCTCCGATCCTCCAGCGCTGACTGGCGGAACGGACGGGGCGGGTACAGCTGGCTCTGCCTCTAGATATGCAGAGCCAGCTGTCAATCACGCCGTTGGGTGGATCCAGACAGCATTGTCGGGATCTGTTCCGGCCTACGGCGTCTAAGTATACCGCGAGCTGTAACTTGCGGTATACTGAGCTTTGGGTGACGGGAGGACGCTAGTTTGTGTCCTCCCGTTACCCTTAGGAGAACTATGGGGAAAAGCACTGACCCCATAGTTCTCCTTTAAGTCCAGTATATAAACATTTATTGAACTGTCCTAAATGACAATTTGATATATCATTTGAGGGTCCTCTATAAAGACAGGAAATCCCCTTAAACATGACAAGATAATTGTGAACATTCTCCTCTCCTATTCATCTCCAATGGCTGCACATTATAATGGAACATCCTGCAATACGATATTAAGAAATAAGACGTCATCTTACCTCAGGGTCGGAACATGCTTCAGTAACAAAGTACAAAGATTATGGTGAGAACAAAAAGGATACATGCGCACTCCTCCATTGCGTGTCCCAATTGCCAAAATTTTCTGAACCGGATCATAGGCTAAAGCAGTGGGCTGATACGGAAATCCGTGCCGGACAGTCTGGGGAAAAAAAATGGCAGGGCCTATTATTTAAATGTTATTGATATGCAACCACACAAAAAATGATCTAAAACATATACCGCGTTTCCCCGAAAATAAGACACTGTCTTATATTTTTGGGGGGCTCAAAAAAACACACCAGGTCTTATTTTCGGGGTAGGTCTTATTATTTTTTTAATGTACAACAATCCAAAGTTAATGCAAATCCAAATAAATAATCCAAAATGGCAAAGTTAAGAATCGGGTGATCAGGACAATCAGGGGCGCCGCACCTTTCCAAGAGCAATTTGGTGACCAGAATGGGCGAAGCTTTCACTATGGATTCCTCACAGGCGGGGTGCATTTGGTATCACTCCGCCTGTGACAGGGGCCGGCGCTATAGAGGCGGCATCGGCTTATGTGGCTCTGCTCCGTCCGCTGCCGCCTCACTTCCTCTAGCGCTGGCTTCGTTGGCACCGCTGATTCTCTCCCGCCTCTCTTCAAGTTCCCCCTTATGCCACCACCGGCCCTGGGAATGGTCACAACTAGGTCTTATTTTCGGGGTAGGTATTCTATTTTAGCAATTCCCAAAAATGGTACTAGGTCTTAATTTTGGGGTTGGTCTTATTTTCGGGGAAACAGGGTATATCATAGCAGCGGCTCAGCGCATGCTCAGTGCACTCTCTCCCCCTCTTATAGCAGTGGCTCAGCGCATGCTCAGTGTGCTCTGATCCCTTATTGTAGCAATGGCACAAGGCATAAGCATTATGCTCTCTTCCCCTATTGTAGCAGCAGCTTAGCTCATGTGTAGTGCACTCTCAACCGCTGATTCTCTCCCGCCTCTCTTCAAGTTCCCCCTTATGCCACCACCGGCCCTGGGAATGGTCACAACTTGGTCTTATTCTCGGGGTAGGTCTTATATTTTAGCAATTCCCCAAAAAAGTACTAGGTCTTATTTTTGGGGAAACACTGTATATTAGTACCTGTCAGAAGAAAAAGGCATCAAATTTACCAATGAACTTTAAAGCATTAGAAAACCCTCTTCAAATATCTATAGGTCAAGCCCATCCCCCATATATAAGTAAGAGATGTTTTGTTCTTTCTAAAATACAATCTTGAGTTTACATTTTCTAGTCTCACATTTGGAACGTTGCTCTACTGCACTGCCGCACTGCCAGCTGGCAGAGGACTACATGCCCCATGCTGCCTTGCCATCGCTGCTGTTAGTAGTAAGGGTCACTCTGCTGGGTGGCCGGTGCACAAAGTGGATGCAAAACAAAAGCCAAAATAATCAGACTATCCGGCTGGTGATTTATCCGGAAACCACGTCCCGCAACAAATATTCCGTTCAGAAATGTTATAGGCGTGTAATGGACCTTTCAGGCACCAACCATAAAACTAAACATAGTAATGTCATAAAAAAACATTTTAATTGACATTAAATTTTAAAATCACGAATAATAAATGGTTCCTTTTGTTAAGTATAACAATCATTTCTAAATATCAGTATTAGACCTCCACATACAGCCTCATATGGTCACTATTCAGCTGGTAATTTATCATTACAAAGCACTGGCTTCCACATAAACCAGCCATCCTCAACCAGGGTTCCATGGAAGCCCGGGGTCCCTCTAAGCCTGCTAGGGGTTGCTTAAGCTGTGGCTGATTGATATCTATCTAAGTTTATTCTTACAGGTCTTTCCACCAGACATAAAAGGGGGACAACTGTGAAAGAAAGAGGGACGTGGGATTTGGTTCCAAAAGAGGGTATCATATCGAGAATATGGTTGGACTGGACAATCGGATTGAAGAGTCCATGGACACGAAAGTCTGAGACCTATGTGACCTATAAGACTGGAGTAGGAAGAAAGTGTCCTACAATACGAATAAATGTACAAATCCCTCATATACCATGATCACACCATACAGTAAAATCCCTCATATACCATGATCACCCCAAGACAATAAAATCCCTGATATACCATGATCACACCATACAGTAAAATCCCTCATATACCATGATCACCCCAAGACAATAAAATCCCTGATATACCATGATCACACCATACAGTAAAATCCCTCATATACCATGATCACCCCAAGACAATAAAATCCCTGATATACCATGATCACACCATACAGTAAAATCCCTCATATACCATGATCACCCCAAGACAATAAAATCCCTGATATACCATGATCACACCATACAGTAAAATCCCTCATATACCATGATCACCCCAAGACAATAAAATCCCTGATATACCATGATCACACCATACAGTAAAATCCCTCATATACCATGATCACCCCAAGACAATAAAATCCCTGATATACCATGATCACACCATACAGTAAAATCCCTCATATACCATGATCACCCCAAGACAATAAAATCCCTGATATACCATGATCACACCATACAGTAAAATCCCTCATATACCATGATCACCCCAAGACAATAAAATCCCTGATATACCATGATCACACCATACAGTAAAATCCCTCATATACCATGATCACCCCAAGACAATAAAATCCCTGATATACCATGATCACACCATACAGTAAAATCCCTCATATACCATGATCACCCCAAGACAATAAAATCCCTGATATACCATGATCACACCATACAGTAAAATCCCTCATATACCATGATCACCCCAAGACAATAAAATCCCTGATATACCATGATCACACCATACAGTAAAATCCCTCATATACCATGATCACCCCAAGACAATAAAATCCCTGATATACCATGATCACACCATACAGTAAAATCCCTCATATACCATGATCACCCCAAGACAATAAAATCCCTGATATACCATGATCACACCATACAGTAAAATCCCTCATATACCATGATCACCCCAAGACAATAAAATCCCTGATATACCATGATCACACCATACAGTAAAATCCCTCATATACCATGATCACCCCAAGACAATAAAATCCCTGATATACCATGATCACACCATACAGTAAAATCCCTCATATACCATGATCACCCCAAGACAATAAAATCCCTGATATACCATGATCACACCATACAGTAAAATCCCTCATATACCATGATCACCCCAAGACAATAAAATCCCTGATATACCATGATCACACCATACAGTAAAATCCCTCATATACCATGATCACCCCAAGACAATAAAATCCCTGATATACCATGATCACACCATACAGTAAAATCCCTCATATACCATGATCACCCCAAGACAATAAAATCCCTGATATACCATGATCACACCATACAGTAAAATCCCTCATATACCATGATCACCCCAAGACAATAAAATCCCTGATATACCATGATCACACCATACAGTAAAATCCCTCATATACCATGATCACCCCAAGACAATAAAATCCCTGATATACCATGATCACACCATACAGTAAAATCCCTCATATACCATGATCACCCCAAGACAATAAAATCCCTGATATACCATGATCACACCATACAGTAAAATCCCTCATATACCATGATCACCCCAAGACAATAAAATCCCTGATATACCATGATCACACCATACAGTAAAATCCCTCATATACCATGATCACCCCAAGACAATAAAATCCCTGATATACCATGATCACACCATACAGTAAAATCCCTCATATACCATGATCACCCCAAGACAATAAAATCCCTGATATACCATGATCACACCATACAGTAAAATCCCTCATATACCATGATCACCCCAAGACAATAAAATCCCTGATATACCATGATCACACCATACAGTAAAATCCCTCATATACCATGATCACCCCAAGACAATAAAATCCCTGATATACCATGATCACACCATACAGTAAAATCCCTCATATACCATGATCACCCCAAGACAATAAAATCCCTGATATACCATGATCACACCATACAGTAAAATCCCTCATATACCATGATCACCCCAAGACAATAAAATCCCTGATATACCATGATCACACCATACAGTAAAATCCCTCATATACCATGATCACCCCAAGACAATAAAATCCCTGATATACCATGATCACACCATACAGTAAAATCCCTCATATACCATGATCACCCCAAGACAATAAAATCCCTGATATACCATGATCACACCATACAGTAAAATCCCTCATATACCATGATCACCCCAAGACAATAAAATCCCTGATATACCATGATCACACCATACAGTAAAATCCCTCATATACCATGATCACCCCAAGACAATAAAATCCCTGATATACCATGATCACACCATACAGTAAAATCCCTCATATACCATGATCACCCCAAGACAATAAAATCCCTGATATACCATGATCACACCATACAGTAAAATCCCTCATATACCATGATCACCCCAAGACAATAAAATCCCTGATATACCATGATCACACCATACAGTAAAATCCCTCATATACCATGATCACCCCAAGACAATAAAATCCCTGATATACCATGATCACACCATACAGTAAAATCCCTCATATACCATGATCACCCCAAGACAATAAAATCCCTGATATACCATGATCACACCATACAGTAAAATCCCTCATATACCATGATCACCCCAAGACAATAAAATCCCTGATATACCATGATCACACCATACAGTAAAATCCCTCATATACCATGATCACCCCAAGACAATAAAATCCCTGATATACCATGATCACACCATACAGTAAAATCCCTCATATACCATGATCACCCCAAGACAATAAAATCCCTGATATACCATGATCACACCATACAGTAAAATCCCTCATATACCATGATCACCCCAAGACAATAAAATCCCTGATATACCATGATCACACCATACAGTAAAATCCCTCATATACCATGATCACACCAAGACAACAAAACGACGTATCTGATTCGGCTGTATTTGCCAGTTTTAGATACAGAGCAGTCAGTCTATATTGGAACAAATAAACAAATAAACTTCAAAACCCATTGTCAGGTCCTTCACTACTATTGTTCCATGAAAATGACCATTCTTCTC